AGGTAAGCTGGCATCAAATTCAACAGCATAATCCCAGGAAGCTTTGGTGCTTCATCTCAGGACTGTCTCAGTACTCATATTTCACTTTTCCTGGTGCTTTCTGGTACCCAGAGTCCAGTTTGTCGAGTAAGTAATGAAAGCTGGGGTTAAAGGACGAGGGCAAAATTCCCCAAGCTCAGCTTCCTTTCTAAGCCCTGCTAGACTAAAGCACATTGACATTACTCCTGCACTGGCAACCGCCCCTCCTTGATTTTGTATACTCCACAACTGGGACCATCCTCATCTGTAAAATGGGCATACAATAGCACCCATCTCCTAGGGCAGCGATTCTCAGTGTGGGTCTGCTGACCAGCAGCAGCTGCATCAATGGGAACTTGTTAGAAAAGCCAATCAGGAACCACATTCCAGACCCATTAAAACAAAACCTTCAAGAATGGGAGTCTGAAATCTGTTTTCACAAGCTCTCCAAGTGATTCTGATGTACTCTCAGGTCTGTGAAGCACGTCATAGGGTTGTTGTGAAGAGTACATGAAGAAGCATCTGTAACACACTCAGAACTGTGCCTGGCACCTGATATTTAGCTATTAGTGTCATCATCATCATCACCATCATTATCACCCCAGGAACACTTTCAAACAATGTTATAATTTCCAGTAGCACCAGAGACCCAGAGATGGAGATGCTTTCGCTGTGTGGAACGAGCCCCCCGGGCACATCCATGTGCAAGCTGACTCTGAACAGTTCAAAGTGGTCTTTTCTGTCCTGACCACTTACTATAATGATAGAGGGTACCAAAGGAGAAAAAAATACAAGACACCTGTAAGTGGAACCTAATCAACAAAACAAACAAGCAAGCAAAATATAACCAGAGACATTGAAATTAAGAACAAACTGATAGTAACCAGGGGGAGCTGGGAGGGGATAATGGTGGGTGGGGGCGGGGAGAGGGGGAAGGGTTTTCAGGAACATGTGTAAAGGACACATGGACAAAACCAAAGGGGGTAGGCTCAAGGGTGGGAGGTGGAGGTGTATGAGATGCGGGAGAGCAGTGCGGGGAAAATGGAGACAAATGTACTTGAACAACAATGAAAAAAGTTAGAAAATAAAATTAAATTAAAAAGAAAATATTAACAGGGACAATTACAATAGGGAGATACTTTATATGCAGAGACTATGGGATAGGTGGCTACGGAAACAGTAAGGGGAGAGAAAGCAATAAAAACTGCTGTGTGGAAGTCTTGAAGCTTAAAAAACTGTCAAACATTGCACTAACAGGAGAATCAAGGCATAAAATATTGACTGTAGTCAGGCCCATGAACAAAGAAGTTGGAGTGTCGGAAGATCACATAGAGTTTGGGACCTAGCTGTCCTACTCAAGCCAGCCTAAAGATAAATTAAGCACAAAGTTTTGATCCACCTTGCCAAGAAACTGATTTTCACTTATCCCACATATAGCAGGCCAAATAATGGGTCCCAAAGATATCAGGCCTTAATTCTTGGAATCTGTAAATGTTAACTTACAGGCAAAGATTTTGCAACTGTAATTAACTTAAGGGTCTTAGTAGGAGATATCACCCTGGATTATCTGGGTGGGCTCTAAATGCAATCACAAGGGTTTTTATAAGGAAGTGGAGGGAAATTTGACAGACATAAAAAGAGAGGGAAATATGACCACTGAAGCAGACACTGGAATGATGCGGCCCAAAGTCTAAGAGTGCCTGGAGGCACCAGAGGCCAAAGAGGAGAGAATTAGGTTTTCCCCTAGAGCCACTAGACAATGCTGCCCTACCAGCACCTGGTTTTCAAAGTGATACTTATTTTAAATTTCTGAACTTCATCACTGTGAAAGAATCAATTTCTGTTGTTTTAAGCCATCAAGTTTATTGGAATTTGTTACAGGAGCCATAGGGAACTAATACACCTTATTTCATGAAAAGACTTTTTCAGATTTGAGGAAAAGATACTCTCGCACAACCAAAGAAGAGTTTGTGGATGATAGTCATAGGGATGGGGAAAAAAAATTCCCACAAGATCAGCTCCTCTGTTATCTACTACACCAAGAGGTTTTGCCATAATCTCATTTAAATATATCGATCATATGCTATAAAATCAAGATTACTGTAATCTCAAATTTTAAAATGGAAAGAAGACTAAGCTTCAGAAAGGCTGTTAGTCAAGTTACATTATGATGTCTAAGTAAATGCACGAAGTACACCAGGAGAGGACAATGAACAAAGTAAGAGTTTAATTAATTCTTGTGGACTGATTTACTTAACAATTTGGCTGTTTAACCCTACAGAGAAAGCAAGGTTACAGTAGCTCAGAAAAATGTTATTTTATAAGTGGCTTTATATGAACATCTAGTCATAAACAGGCTCTTTTCCATAAAATTATAAATGGTAATAGGTATTAAACCACTTTACAAGTAGACCATTTTCTGGATAATGTTTTTTAAGAGTAAATCTTAGCTAAGTGAATTTAAAAAAATTGAAGGGGGAGGTTTTATTGGGGAGAGATTTTAGGTGGCCTCATGGTCTTGAATACTAGCACACTAGATTTGTTCATTCCCATATGGTTAAAAACTTTCAGAGATGAGGTAAAGAATTATATCCTATTTTACTACTGAGCAAAAGAAATCTAGGCAGATACATACAAGAAGATATTTTTACAGATACTGCATTTTAAATGAGAATCAGGAAGTTCTGCCAATTGCATTTTGCCAAAACAGAGCTAAGTTTTGGTTGCTTGAATAAAACATGACCATTTTAATAATTAGCACTCATCTTAGTTACTTTACAAAGAAATGGGAATAGATGAGAGGGAATACAATAGTAACAATAAATCTCTGTAATGAATTATTTAACAGATTATGTATAAATCAATGTCATGAGTTGGAGTAACATCTTCCACCCTCTTGCCTTAATGATTTTCTACTGTTTTTCTCTTGAATTTGGGTATTTCTTGACTGAATTTTAGGTTTTTAGCATATTTGCAATAAAGAGAGTCCATTTTTTGTTTTACTGCATTTGCATCACACCTCAAGAAACAAAGGGGATGATGCCCTTCTTTGGAGTAGCACCTGCCACACAGCCTGCTGTGAGGCTATTGCCTAAGGTGCAGGCGTTCTTGTAGTAGCAGGTTTTTCCACCCCGTGCAATCTTCTCCAGCTGCGACCTAAGGGCAACTGTAAAACCCACGTATTAGAATAACTCAGATTTCTTGTGATGGACTGAGTAAACAAAACAAAGTGGCTAGGTTTTATATGACAGCAGTTCTTTGACCTATAAAAGAAACCTCTGTACTATCCAGAGAGCAGTCAGGACTTGCTGAATGGTTACCAACTTCTTTTTGCCTCCATTTCCCACCCAGGACAAATCAGAGAAATCCAAATATTCTCCCCAAACCAATCACAATAAGATGCTCCATTTTTAGTTGTTCCTCCTACAGCTTCCTCATGACAACACCCTCTAATCAGGGCTTAGAGAAGCTTCCTTGTTTTTTATTATAAAGCTTTCCTCAACCCAACTGTCTTTGAATTGTCTCCCTTGTTATATACAGCAAGTTTTCATATCATATTGGTGGTCTTCATTTATTTCCACTTCTGTTGACTACCAGAATTTTTTTTAAAGAAAAAAAAATACCTCCAGCCATATGCAGTACAATGTACTTTGTAACCACTTGGGAACTTGTGGTTCCTAGTAGTGTTTGACAGAAAAGGAATTTTACTACAAAAGACATGAAGTGAAATTTTTAATAAATTGATTTTTTAAATACCTGGTTGTGCTTCAGTAAAGTCTCTCAATTTAATTTTAACTAAGAATTTACAAATCAACATGCATTAAGACTCCATTTTTTGAAAAAAAATATAAATATATGCCTATCAAGGAGTTACGGGGGAGGGGATGAGGGATGTTTATTCTCTAAAATGTATTTTCTACAGTGAATGTTTCTTAAATAATTTTTAAAACTTTTAAAAACATTTCTGAATTAATTTTCATATATATATACATTTCCATCTGAAATATTTCTTCAAACAGCATAACCTAAACCCTGGCATTAAATGTTAATAAAGTACATACATTTCTTAGAGCCAAGAGGATTTTGAATACTAAGGAAGACAATGACCCATAACGCAGAACGTAGGGAAGTAAAAGCAGTTTCTGCCCTTCTCAATTGCTGCTCTTTTTATTGAGTCAAATTTTCCTGTAAGTAACTCCTTTCCGTTGGTTCTCAGAAAGGCTCGGACAGACAAGGAGCACTACAGATGCCTGCCTTCCCTGGAGACCTAGCCAGTCTGACCCTTCTCCTTGCAGGGATTTGGGCCTACCAGCGGCGTCCATCCTGCGGCCCCTTGGCTCAGGAAGGCTATGAATGCGGCCCAACACAAAATTGTGAATTTACTTAAAACATTATGAGATTTGTGTGTGTGTGACTACATGTCACGATGTATTTAATGTGTGGCCCAGAGACACCAAAAGGCTGGACACCCCAGTAGCATGCCCCGTGTTTGGGACATTGCCCTTCCTCTCCACCGACATTCTTCCCAAACCCAGCTGCAGCCATCCCAAAACAGGCAGCACACACCTGCCTGGGGGCTTTGCCTTCTGGCGGCCAGGCCCACAGTTTGCAGCGGAATACTCGGGAACCACTACACAAGATTACATTGTTCTCAGCGTTCCCGATATTTTAACCAAAAACTCTAGGACCAAAGAACACAAGAGCTACAATGAAAACCCACTCAGGGATCCCCATAAGCTTTTCATGAACCATCCACCAAGGGCATGAATTCAGAGTAACTAGTGGATCCGGTTCCCAGGGAGGCGGGAGACCCTCCTCACCGCTGGTCTTGTACGCCAGCTCGCCTCCTCCCGGGGCACTGAGGTAGTTTCGACTTTTGCCGGGAAGAGTTGGGATGTCACAGGCCGGGAATCCCAGCGCCCAGAGGCCCCGCCCCGGGCCGGCTCAGCCAATCGCGGCGCGTACAGGCGCGTTGGGGGCAGGGCGCCCGGGATGAAACCCAGGGCCTTAAAGGCTGAGTCAGGCACAACTGGGCCAGAGCCACGAGTCTCGTCGACCTTCGAAGGGTTTCCTGCGTCCGGGGGGTGCCGCTGCGCAGCTGTGGCTGCCACAGGTCAGTCCATGGCTGAGACGCCTCGGAGACAGTGACTGGAGGAGGGGCCCATCGGGGACACGGGCAACTGGGCAGGCGCGACCCCCAGGAACAGGAGCGTCTGCTTACCCGGAGCTGGTGAGGGCTGGTGAGGCTGGGTCGGCGCTGCCTGCCTCGAGCCCTTCCCTGCCCCTGCCCCTGGCAGCCTGGAGGTGGGGAATAGTAGAAGGAAGATTCAGGGAGCCCAGGGGGACACTGAGACCTCTGCAGGAGTGGGTCAGCCCCAGGGCTGTAGCGGGGCGGTGGGGCCCTGTTTCCAACCAAGCGTCAACATCCTCTGGAAGCGGCTGCCGTGTGTGTGTGCGGCGGGGGTTTGCGGGCGGCATTCCCGCGGCCCGGCCCCTCCTGCAACGTCAGCGTCACCTGGCCCAGGCCTGTGCTCTGAATACCTGGAGAGCAGGGCCCGGTGCAGGCGTGGGAACCAGGGTGCTCGTACTCCTACAGGTGCAGAGTCCAGCTGTGCGGAGAGCAGAGCGCTGGTGGACTCCTGCCCATTTTTTCTTGGGAAGGCCTTTCAGAAAGGTTTGTAGGCATATTTCACCCTCTGCCCTTCAAGTCAAGAAGAAAGGTATAAGGTGGACACCTAACTCCTGAGGATCCCTGTCTCTGCTTGGGATCAGGCATCCTGGTAAATAAGAGTTTCTGAGTCATTTTGATACCTTGAGTAAAAAACCTGGACCAACAGTCACCTGGTCATTGCTTTAAAATTCTGACCCTTAAGGTATCCTAAGACTCTTATCAAAACCTAAATTATCATTGAACTATTACAATGAAGTCTGTCTCAGTCTCTATAGCACTTGTCAGTCTGTTTTTCATTTTGATGGCTGAATCATATACCTCTGCTATTTGGTAAGTCCTAGCCTGTTTCTCCACCCACATTCTTAGCCTTCTTCCACAGACTTCCATAAATATTTGGGAAGGTAATTTAAATGTTATTACCCAACTATAGTGACTATAATGTCTCAGAAGAAAGGTTTTCCTCAGAAAGGATAGGTTTTTAGAAGGATTGGTCTAATCAGATAACTCATTTTTCCTCCCCTTTCTAGGTTTTTGAAACATGAAAACTTCACTTCTCCTGGCTGCCCTTTGCTTGGGAATAGCCTCAGCTTCTCCAAAACTCGATCACAGTCTGGATGCACAGTGGTACCAGTGGAAGGCAACGCACAGGAGACTTTATGGCGCGGTGGGTAACATTGGAACTGTCAAGAGGGATCCCACCGAGAAGGGCCCTTGCAGTTAGGAGTTTATAGCCAGAGAGGAGCTTCTAGAAGTCAGCTTTACCAACACAGTAACTTAATGGCACCACTAAGGGTCACAATACCAGAATACATCCTGGTGTTGGTACTTAAAGAACAGCACCTTAGAGAACTATATACTTAGAGAAGTATAAAGCCTTCCCAGGTTGTGGCTTCTCTTCCTCTTTGTCTGCAAATCCACTGGGTTTTCAGTAGGAATAAAGACAATATGGTATGTTTGCCACTAGGATGAAGAAGGATGGAGGAGAGCAGTGTGGGAGAAGAATATGAAAATGATTGAACTGCACAATCGGGAATACAACCAAAGGAAACATGGCTTCACCATGGCAATGAATGCCTTTGGTGACATGGTGAGTGTGGCATGGGAGGCTTTGGTTTTTGTGCTTCTTCTCAGTACTTTAGCAAAATAACCTCTTGCTTTTTCAACAATTTATTTACTTTTCCTTATAGACCAATGAAGAATTCAGGCAGGTGATGAATGGCTTTCTAAACCAGAAGCAACACAGGAAAGGGAAATTGTTTAGAGAACCTCTCTTTGTTGAGATCCCCTCATCTGTGGACTGGAGACAGAAAGGCTATGTAACTCCTGTGAAGAATCAGGTATGGTAGCTTTCAGATCTTGTATCTCAGGAAAGCCAAAAAGGAATGGCATCCCTGCTTTGAAAGACTGGAATAGTGTGCAGTTTGCTAGTGTTGTTTTTTTTTTTTTAAATAGTGTTCAGGTATATGGGTTATTGTCAGTCTTTATATTTGTCTTATAGACTGATAACTCTTTTTATTTTCAGGGTCAGTGTGGTTCTTGTTGGGCTTTTAGTGCAAATGGTGCCCTTGAAGGACAGATGTTCCGGAAAACTGGCAAACTTGTTTCTCTGAGTGAGCAGAACCTGGTGGACTGCTCTCACTCTCAAGGCAATCAGGGCTGCAATGGTGGCTTAATGGATAATGCCTTCCAGTATGTCAGGGACAACAAAGGCCTGGACTCAGAGGAATCCTACCCATATCTTGGAAGGGTAAATGAAGCTCCTTATCTTGTTATTCCAGTTCTGCTTTTGAAAGTTGAACATTTTCAGAGATAATACACCTTAGCATTCACATTTTAAATACAAACTCTCAGAAGTGTAACTGTAAATTTCCAACCTTTGCACAGATGTTTGGTTAGGTGGTTAACTATATAGATGGTCTTATTTCTATGTAACATGGAGAATATATGCATTATTCTGCATATAATGCAAATTTCTCCTTAGTGAAAAATTTCCCAAAGACAGGTAGACCTAAGGGGTCTCATTTGCTAACTTTTCAATTTCAAGGCTACCAGTAGCATTTTGCTTTCTGGGCTGCTGTCAGAGTTGACTTAGAAATCATTAAGGTGCAGACTGCTAAGTTTTGGGGTCTTAAAACTGATGTTTCCCAGGAGGTGGGTGGGAGTCATTGTCTCTTCCCATTTACCTTTAAAAGGAATCAAATACCTGTAACTATAGACCTGAGTATTCTGCTGCCAACGACACTGGCTTTGTGGACATCCCTCAGCATGAGAGGGGCCTTATGAAGGCAGTGGCGACTGTGGGGCCCATCTCAGTTGCTATTGATGCAGGCCATTCATCGTTCCAGTTCTATAATGAAGGTAGGTGTCTGTCTTATTATAGAAATGCAAGCAGGCAAAAATCGAAAACACCACCATGGTTACCTTTTTGGTATGGAGTCCTTTCCAAGACTAGAATTTTGAGTGTGCACATTTAATATAATGATATTTGACTTTAAATATTTTCTCATGATCACAAACTATTCATAAACATTTTTAAATGGCTATGTAATTCATTCTGTAGATATAACCTAATTTACTTAACTATTCTGCAATTGTTGGACCTTTTTTCCAAAAATTTCTTACTGTTGTAATTAGAACTATAAAGAGCCCCATGGCTCAGGGTCCTTTATAGAACATTTAGTTGGCATTCTAGGAGCAGGAAGGATTATGCTGATTAATATTAGTTAGATGAGTGTCTAAATCATATTGGTTTTGATAACTAGATCTTACTGAAAATTTTTTTAAGGTAGAATATGTATCAGATTTCATTGTTTTGTTTATTTCCAATAAGTTGAGTTTGATTTTTTACTTTTTATTAGCCATTACTATTTTTTGGCAAATGTTTAAGTCTTATTTGGAATGTATGACATTGCACTAAGCAATGCCTCTCTTAACTATGGTAGATAGGGCAGGTTCCTGTCACCTGTCACTTGGAGGTTCTCACCCCAACACTGAATTTTACCCTCACAGGCATATACTATGAACCAAACTGCAGCAGCAAAGACCTGGATCACGGTGTTCTGGTGGTTGGCTATGGCTCTGAAGGAGCACAATCAGACAGCAATAAATTTTGGATTGTCAAGAACAGGTATAAAACTCCAGATACTATATTTGAAATTGAACAGGGAATACTTGTTTGAAATCAGTATTTGGTTTTAGGTCCAAAAATGCTCAATTTTGAAATCCCAGGACTCTTTTTCCCACTTAGACACAATATAAAAGTTCTGATGTTGATTATAAGATTCTGTAGCAACCTTGTTAGTGTCATGTATTTGTAGTATTGCATTTCAAAATTCTGAAAATTTTTTTAAGAAACACATCTGGCCTCAAGACTTTCAAACAAAGGATTTTTTACGTGCAGGGTTGAGAGCTGGATTCCTTTTTCTGTCTCCAGTTTTTCACCAAGGTATAATGAGCAGAAACCTCTACCTCTGCTGATTCTTTAAGTCTAAAAATTGTCCAAGAGTTCAGTGGTCTCTGCATTGTTCCTGTTACCATTCATTTGATACTCTGCCATTGCATTCTGCTTCCCATCTCTCAAGAGGCCTTGGGGGTTGTCAGAAGTGATTCTCACAGTTAAGTTCTTTAACTGAGATGATATATAAGAAAGCCTATGGAAACAGACTGTTACATTGGACTGTTCTACCTCAATTTCCTATCTAAATAAGTTAAAATAAGGACCCAAGGGAATTAATATATTTATAACTGTATATAATAGCACTGAGAATAGTATCTGATACATGGTAAACACTTTTTTAAGTATTACCTAGTATTATTAATGAATCTAATGTATATTCTTTGTGTAAAATGGAAAACATGCTCTTCTTTCAGCTGGGGGACAGGATGGGGCATGAATGGCTACGTGAAAATGGCCAGAGACCAGAGCAACCACTGTGGAATTGCCACTGCAGCCAGCTATCCCACTGTGTGAGCTGGTGGACAGTGATAACAGAAGCCTTGAGAAAGGACATATCCAGAGGAATTCTACCTTGAAACTGATCAAACCTTTATTGTATAAGATGAGAAACTTGAATCATCAAGGATCCAAGTTGTAATGTGAATTCTCTGACATTTTTAAAAGGGTAAAATGTTACCAGTACTTTAATTACTACTGTTCTAAATAGCTTTATAATGTTGACTCATTGCTTAATTCTAAGACTTTTGAATTTCATTTTTTAAAAGGATATATAAAACTTTACCTTTTAAAATAAATTTTAATTCATTACATAGATATGGAACTTCTTTCTGTTTTTAATTCACTAAATTTTTGCATAGTCAGGAAATATAATTGGGCTATGAAGACATAACTGAATGTGCCAATGATGTATAGGAGAAAGATACTGGGTAGCCCTCCGGACTTTGTGGTTATAAATATGTGGATTTTATGTCAGCTGCCCATTGGTGGTGTTGACCTAACCCTTGAATCTGGCAAAATGTGATTAACAATCTGGAAGGACAAAGGTAAATTTGTTTTAATAAAGAAAATCAATTTACTCTTTAGAGAAGTAAATAGACATACAGAATTTTAGGTTTTAGATACTAGAAAAGGAACTCCTTTCTTGGACTCAAGTTGGTTAAAACCTAGTAAAGTTATGTGATAAAAGTCTCAGAACCAGTTACTGAAGCATCTACCTGATTTGCTGAGGAAGCCCATGTGACTACTTTACAGTCAAGAAAGGACCCAACACAAGAGCTTTCTGAGGCTGTTTTGTCTTTCTTCTGCCCAGTCCCTGAGGACATTCCATACAACTCTTCTAGGAAAAGCCTCATTTGTTACCTAGTGTGAGCAAAAGTACATTTAGTGGTTGTGATGAACATATCTCAGATGCTTAGTAATAACTGAAGAAGTGTGTTCAAGTTCTACAGGAAAGGAGGCTAAGCTACAAAAATAGTTATGGCTTTGGAAGACAGGTAAGAGATCACTGAGGAAAATGTGCATTTAGCTACCTGGTCTCTGATTTAAAAATAAACCCAGAAGAGCCCCAGCTGGTGTGGCTCAGTTGGTTAGAGCATCGTTCCAAACCCGTCGTGGGTTTGATTCTTAAGACACAGGTTGCAGGTCTGGTCCCCGGTTGGGGCACATAGGAGAGGCGTCTGGATTGATGTTTTTTGTGCTCGCTCTCAAAATCAATAAATGTATCATTGGGTGAGGATTAAAATAAATAAATTTTTTAAATTTTGAAAAAATAAACTCAGAACAAAACTGCCTAAGCATATGGTTATATAGGAACCCCCCCCCCGTTAAAATATTGAATCACAAATCTCTGCTTAATGGGGCCATATTAATAAATTCAGTCTAATCTATAATATTCATTCCCTTCTCATGTTCCCCTAAATATGTCTGTATAAATTGGAAAGATCAGGCAGTGCTTTTGGAATGTAGTGCACCCAAAATGGGTCATACTTTGTACCTTACTTGAGTCTGGTTATAGAAATAGGGATGGTGAGAGCAGTTCCTAAGAAGACCAGCAGTGTCTTGCAAGGAAAGTACCTCAGGGGAGGCCATTGCCTGCACTGCTCAGGCAAAGCTAGAAGGCCTGCTGGCAAAGAAGCTCATCAGGATTTAGGGGTTCAATATCCCCAGCTTCATCAGAATGCCTCCAGATACTCCCATTCCAGATTTCAGCACGATCCTTCCCAATTAATGCCCTTGCTTTAACAGCTCATAACCCTGTGTGTTGGGAATTCAACTGGCACTGTGATTCAGCCATTTGGTGGATGAGACTATGGCTTTAGTTTTCAAATCTCAACTGTTGTGGCTATAAGTGATAGGAACTTATTTTAGGGCAGATGGAGAAACTTTGGTCATTTAAGTGGCACGAGCCAGAAATTCAAAGCCCTGAGCTTATCCTTTTCCTTCCCTACTTTGTCCAGTGCAGTTATGAGCAAACAGCCAATCTCATACTCATTAGTTTGACCAAGATGTTCTACTGTGTCAAATGCATGGTCACCGAGAATCTTACCTCTTTACAAGTATGTGATTAGAAATATCCGTGGGTGGTATTTCACCTATCTTTGTGGCCACATCCTGCCAAGGCATGGACTATCAGTGCTCTAATCAGATTAGGGAATCCATTCCAGAAACCGGGAAACTCATTCTTGAGATCCTTTTCCTCTGTCAGTAATAAAGTACGCATTTTAAGGAATTGGCTTATGCCATTGTGGGGACTGGCAAATCCAAATTTCTAGGGCAGACTAGCCAGCTAGAAACTCAGGCAGTACTGTTATAGTATTAAGGCAGAATTCCAGGAAACTTCAGGTTTTGCTCCTGAGACCTTCAACTGATTGGATGAGTCTGAGCCACATAATGGAAGATACTCTGCTTTACCCAAAGTCAACTGATTATACATGCTAATTACATCTACAAAATACCTTCACAGCAACATCTAGACCAGTGGTTTTCAGCTGGTGTGCTGCAACACACTGGTATGCAGCAAGAACTTTTAAAACATGCAATACCTAACTAGTCATGGGCACTGATCTCCTGATCTCTTTCCCCTTAGATGGTAAAAAAAAAAAAAAAAAAGCAATAGGCAACACAACAATAGCCACCTGGTGTGAATGAATCAAAATTATATTTATTTATTTTCATCAGATTGGCAAAAAATACTTTGGTATGCCACAGATTTTTGGTAATTAGTTTGTGTGTGCCATGAGATGAAAAGGTGAAAATTGCTGAGCTAGACTAGAGTTTGACCAAACCACTGAGCACCATAGCCTAACCGACTCCATGCAACATTCAACTGTCACAGGGACCTCCTTTTGCATACCCATCACCCCCCATTACCCTTTCCTTGCCTACCAGCCTACCCCTTCTCTTGTCATCATCTCCACTTTATACCCCTCAATACACAAATACACTTAAAATAATTTTTAATCTTTTAACTTTTCTAACATTTCAAGATGGCCCCAGTAAACTCTCGCTATTATCTAATTATAGTTAATATTTGCTGAGTGAAGGTGTTTTTTCTTGATTGTTTATGATAGGCTGTATGTAGCTCTCTTCACGCTGTAATTTCTAGCAAAGTGTCTTTAGGATTTCAGGTTTCAGGACTGAGGACAGTAGTCACCAAATACTCCATCATCTAAAGTTTGTTTCTCCAATCTGAAACTGCTTCTTAAAATAATTAAAACACTACAATATCATTCATGGAGGATTACAAACTATGTCATGTTACATAATTTCATTTGACACCAAACTCCAACAAAACTGGGGGTTAGGATCTTAGGGTCTCTTGTTTTGTAACTATGACTTGGAATTCTCCACTTCTGGTGTGATAAGGGAGTTCACACTTTCTCTTCCTTTGTTATGTATTTTAATTCTCTGCCCATCCCTCAGTAAAGAAATGGCTCAGTATGATTCCTCAAGCAGATGGCTTACTTAACCTCTCTTCAAAACGTGGCTTAGGAGGCTGAGGCAGGGGTGTGTTCTTAAAAATATTCAAAAGTCAGTGAAAAGAAAATTGTGAATACATAAGTTGTTTTTCTTGGGCAATCATATTTTACAACCAAAGTTTTACTTGAGATACTGGAATTAACCCACATGACTTTGAAAAGAAAAAAAAATAGAGCTCTGAGGGAGTGATGTGAGTCCTTTTCTCAAAATTAATTCATGTTATCGAGGCAGAAGAAACACAGTCATGTCTATGAAATAAAATTTTCAAGTGAAAACAGCAAGCTGTAGAGCAATATGAATAATTTGTTTCCATTTTTTTAAATACAGAGACATACATTCTTATATGTGCATTTTAAAAAGTTCCCAACAGAAATAAACTAGATATGCTTCTTGGAGGTGCTAAAAGAGACTTTCTCTTTCTGCTGTATTATTCAATTTTTTTAAATAACTAACATACATTATTCCCATGAGATAAAGATTCAGAAGTATATCATTCAATAAAATAATTAAAGAACTGGTAAAGGAGGAGGAGGAAGGGAAGAAACAGACTGTCCTTAGGATGAATAAAGACAAGTCTCCAGCTGGGGCATTTATCCTCCTGAGATTCACACTGACACTGCTCGGCGAGTCCATTCATACAGCACACATGTCAGGAACTGCCACTGGCCAGTTGGCTTCCAGAATCTTCCACATAGGTCTCAGCAACAGAACTTCTCTGAGACCCATGGACTGTTGGATCAAAATCAGTTGCCACAGCCAAGAGGGGTAAGGAGGGCTTTTGCAAAGAGCCAAAAGAGGAGATGAACGAAGATACTGAGGGAGGGAATGTACCAAGGAAATTTCTGATAAAACCCTTTAGTGAGAATGGAAAACGAGCTCTGATCAGAATTCCAGAGCATTTATTCTCTTTACCTCCAAGTCCCCCAACACACACACTCCATACCCCAGCATTGGGACATAAGTGTCCTTTCCCCAGCTTTCTGTACCCTTTCCTCTTCCACATTCAGGGGCAGCACTATGGTGCCAATCACACAACACTCAAAGGGAGGGCCAATATAGGTAGAAGCAGAAAAATCCTTGGCTATGAATTCTCAGTTCTGCTCTTAAAAGTCATATTAGAACTTTTCACTGAGAAGGACAGTGAAAAGGGAATGTTATGGGGTGATGATAATATTCCGTATCTTGATAAGGATTCAGGTGCTATAGGTATATGCATTTGTCAAAACTTGAAAAAATCTCTACATTTAAGATATTTGCAGTTCATTATATGTAAATGTATATGCAAAGAGAAATGTTATAAACAGATATTTAACACTCACTAATGCCAGGCATGCTAAAATATTTAAGAGTAACTACCAATGCCTGCAAGTTATATTTTTTAATTTTTTGTGGTAAAATATATATAATGTAGAATTTACCATTTTAACCATATACAACTCGGTGGCATTAAGGATGTTCACAGGATTGCACAAACATCACCACTATCCACTTCCAGAATTTTTTCATTACCCCAGACAGAAACTCTGTACCCATTAAACAACTTCCCATTTTCCCCTTCCTCCAGTAAAATAGGTAATTCCTATTTTACTGTGTGTCTCTGTGAATTTGTCTATTCTAGGTACCTCATATAGGTGGAATCATAATTGTCCTTTTGTGTCTGGCTTATTTCTCTCAGCATTATGTTCCCAAGGTTCACCCATGTTTTACATATATTAGAATTTTATTACTCTTCAAAGCTAAATATTCTGTTGTATGCCTATACTGCATTTTGTTTATCCATTCACGTGTTGATGACATTTGGGTTGTTTCCACCTGTTGGCTACTGTAAAGAATAC